GCCAGCCTTTGCTCTGGGCTCCAGCCCAGCACCGTCAGGTTGCCTGCAGGACTCACCTGGCCAGCTGCGACCCGGTGCTCCTCCGGTAGCTGATAAATACATCAGTCCCATCAGATGCGGTTTGCAGCGTTATAGGGGAGTGAAGCATTTCTAGGCGGAGCAAACAGCAACCAAAAGTTAAAAGCACCCAACAACTCATCCCAAACAACCCTCAATACTTGCCCCCACCCGCCTGCTCAGGCGCAGTGAGCAGCAGCGGGACCCGCACCCCTTGCAGCAGTGAGGATGCGGACGCGGTGGAAGCCCGTGTTGATGTGACAGTCCTCCTGCAGCTGCTGCTCCGTCACCCGGTGCAAGAAGTTGCGGTTGATGCCGCATGTCAGCAGGTTGTACGTGTACTGACGAAACTTGGGGTCGATGCCGCCCAGCCAGTCGGCCAGGTTGCTGCGGTCGCAGGTGGAATAGTTTGTGAAGGTCTTCAGCTCTGTCAGCTCCCGGAAAAACCTGGCAGAGAAATAAATGAAAGCGAGGAGTGGAGAGGGGAGGCTGCTGGACCAGATGGGATCTAGAGACATTGGGTATCACATCTTTGAGGACCAGGATACAGGAGAGAGTGCAGCTACTGCTGTGGTGAAGAATGAGCTAAAGAAATAAAGAGATGAACTGGTCTTCAGGACACAGAGGTATGAGCAGCTCAGCTAAGGGAGGAGAAGTTCGGGTGAGTTCCCGTCTTTCTGGGTAACTTGCAGGATCCCACCTCCCCTGTGCTGTAGGTGGTCTCTCCCCATCCCACACCTCTCCCGTGCACTGGCCCCATCGCAGGAATCTCTCTGGGACTGCATGCTGCACTGCAAAAACCCTGGCAGTCCAGGTTTTGCATTTTGAGGATCTCTGCTGTTGTCTCTGCCAGAAGGGAAAGGCACAGACCTTTTCGCTGGCTCTGCCACCATGGTGATGGTCCTACCTCTTCCGAGTGATGCTGGAGTCCATCCCCAAATCCTCCTGCAGCTCCTCCTCCGTCAGTCTCAGGAGAATATCCCCATCCACCTGATGGTCCTGCCAAGAGAAATCCAGGCTGGAAAAGTCCCAAAAAAAGCTGTTGGGTGAGATGCTTACACCTCTGCTGCAAGATGGGGCAAAAGGGCCCATCCAGGTGTCCCTCTCCCAGCACGCAGCCCTACCAAGAAGGTCTGGCAGTATTTGTTGAATCCAATCTGCTGCAGCCACGTCTGCACCTCACAGGGCTTCCAGTTGGGAACTGTGGGCAGGATGCGCCGAGGAACCTCCTCCCCTATCATGCGCAGCACCTTTTTGGCCAGGGAGGAGGTGGTGCTGCTGGTGGAGTAGCACACTATCCTCTTCAGGCTCTGCGTAGCCCCAATCTCACTGAAAATCTGGGGACACAAAGAGAGAAGACAACACTTTGCTTTCCCTCCTCCACCCCACAACCTGTGCCAAGCCGTTGAAGGACCAGGGTGCTCGGTAAGCTCATAGGAGAGCAAAGGACACCAAGATGCAGTTGTGGCACCCCTTCCCATTTGCATCTCCTTCCTTCAGGCCAACCTACCCTTTACCTTTGTTTTCTTCTGCCTGGTTTTGATGGCAGCCTCCGTGCAGAGGTAGAAGGCAGCAATGCACTGCGCTTCCAGCCGCGAGCTGTCCAGCAAGGGTACCAGCCGCTGCAGGTCATCTGCCGTCCTCCCCTGGCTGTTGTCGCTGCTGCCCAACATCTCACAGGCAAACTGCTCCGGATCCAGCGAGGCGATGAATGGCTCCACCAGAGCCAGCGTCCCTGAGCGCTCCACCTCCTTCTCGATTTCTTTGTTAGTGGCCAGCACCGTGATGGCCAGGCACGCGTGCAGGCGGATTAGATCATCGTCTCTTGAGAACACCAGTGGGAAAAGCCACTCCGCTGTCCTCTTCTCGATCATCAGGCGCTGGTTGGCCTGCCCTCCATACATGGCACAGTTCGCCAAGGCCATGGCACAGTGCCGTAGCACGATGGGGTCCGTCCAGCGGCACCAGTAGAGGATAGCATCCAGGCCTCCATCAGAGATGAGCTGGAAACAGGTCTCCTCGGTGTGTTTGAACATGTGCTCCAGGATGCCAGAGACGCTCTGCGCCAGCTGAGGAACATCTCGCTCCTTGGCTAAGTTCAGAATCACTCCCAGACCAATCCGAGCGATCCGATCCCTGCAGGAAGGAGGCACAGGCAGGTGAGGGGCAGATGGCCATGCAGGGAGTCAGAATGGTGACTGGCCTGTGAACTGCCCCGTGCTTTGGTGGTGTTTGCCCATGACAGTGAGATGTTTCCCTGCAGAACGTGGCTGCCAGATATGCTGTCAGGCTGCGGTGCAGTGAGATGCGACAGGCTGGTGTTGGAAGAACCTGTCTGGGCCTGATGGAAGAGCTTGTGATGGAACAGGATGTGGGGTTGCATAGCCCAGGACCACCATGCCGAGGCTCTCGTGCTCGAGGTAAGACGTACGTAGCGATTAACAGCGCAGGGAAAGCTAATGCCATGGGAGACGTGCGAGAGACGGGGATCTGCCCGTCCTGAGATGGCAGCGTGGAGGTGGCTTGGAGGGAAGCTCTTTATTTCCCCAATCCTGCGCTCTCCTAGAAGAGAGGACAGCAAGAGCCTGGGGGCAGGCGGCCGAGGGTCACCAGCTGCTGATCAGTCACGGCTGGCTTTGGGAGCCCCGTGCTGCGAGGGTGGTCTTAAAATGACACCGGAATGGGTCTGTGCCCTCGAGGCATAAAGGGGGAAACGCTGGGGCGCTGGGGCGGATGCCCCGTGCCGTGCTGCTCATGAGGGCGGTGGTGCCTTTGGCCCCCAGCGATGGTGGGTTGAAGGCATGCCAGCCTCCCTGTGCTGGCAGGCAGGAAGAGCCTTTCTGGGAAGCCTGTGGCCCTCATGCCTCATGCTGACCTTGGGGTGGATTTGGCAGCAAACACTGTGGAGAGCTCTGGAAAAAAAGCCCTCAGCCTGGGACTGGCTCCAAGCCTGGACTTGGCCCCACGGAGCTGGATGACAAACACAGCCCTGCCAGGTCACCAACTCCCCGGAGACATGGGATGGAACCAGGAGCGGTCCAGCTCCTGGCTGAGCACAGATGCTGGGAGGGGTCTCTAAGCCAGAGGCTTGGACCCAGGGAAAGACCCCACAGCTCCTTGCCAGCGCCCACAGGCTGATGGTGGGTCAGGCTGCGGGGAGCGAGGGGCTGGGGGCCCCTGGCTGGTCTGAGATCCTGGCCCATGACCCGCTCCTGGAGCAGAGACGGCAACTCTGGCAGCTGCTTTCTCTTGCCAGGAAGCTAAGTGCTCAATTCAGACTATGCCAGTGATGTTTCCTGGGATTAATTCCACTCTAATGGACTTTCCCAATTTAGCTGTTGCTTCTTTTTGCCTGCCAGTGCGTGCAGCAAGGCTCAGGCTGTGAATCCACAACCTTACAGCAAGACACATCGCCCATGAAGCTGGAGGAAGACCGTAAACTTTGGCCAGGCTTCCTCGACACGCTCCCGAAGCCCTGGCTGGGGCTGGCTGGGCTTGGGCACACCAAGGGCAAGCAGAGCTGGCAGAGCCACGTGTTTGCCTGCAGCGTCCCACAACAGGAAAGCCTGATCCTGACTCAGCTGGAAGCAGGTCTACAGCTCTTCCCTGGGATCAGCATGCTGCCGGGGCATGCCAAACCAGGGGCAGGGCAGAGCGTGTTTGTGGTGTTTGAAGGGTGAGCTGCGTGCGGGCACTGCATCAGCACTGCTGTGCATTTAGATGTGTTGGATGCCACGTGTGTACAGGCCCCCTCATACGTGTGCTCATATATACACAGAATACGCTCCCACCCCATGTACGAGGAGCTTTGGCAGAGCCAGCCCCACACTGCTCACCTGTCCTGGGGCGCAGCACACGCATCTCCAGCCTCAGAGCTAGGGGCCATGGGCTGGGGGGCTCAGGGGGCCGCCGGCCAGCTGGCCCCCTCCTTATGGCCTCGCTCCAGCCCTGGTCAGCAGCAGCAGGTCTCTGGGAACCAGCTTCCTCCTCCTCCTCCTGCTGCAGTTATGGCTACAGGGGAGTTGTGTCTCATCCTTGGGGTCAGATGCTCTGAGCCAGCCAAACCGACCCAGCTCAGCCACGAAGGGTGTCTTGGGCACGTCTGGGTGCCCCAGGCTGAGGGTGGCTCATGAGGACACCCCGATCCTCACCAGCATCCTGTGAGCTGGGGCTGGTCCTCCTCCCTCCAGCCATGGCAGTGGTGATGGGGTGGGGGGGGCAGGTCATGCCATTGCCTGGGCGTGATCAGCAAATTGGGGACCCCCGTGTGCAAGTACCAGGTGAGGGGGGACACGGTGTGGAGCCGAGAGGATTTGATGCACCAGGGGTGTGGGTGGGATGGGTGGAGGAAATCCCTGCTGTGCTGGGGGTGGTGGGCGCGCCCGCGGTGGGGAGGGCTGTGCCTGGCGGGGAGGGGGCTCTTTGCAGACTCACCTGTTTTCTGCCACCAGGATCTGCTCCAGGAGTTTCCCCGCCTGGCACTTGGTCTCCAGCTCTGCCGTGTACAGCAGGT